ATCCATCTGATGTCAGCGATGATACCCCTTGTTCCACATCCTCTTCTGAGTCTGGCTTGATGTTCGGAAGGCAGCTAGCAAGCTGGCCACCGGACTGGAAGTGTTTGTGCCCATTCCAAAGAAGGTGCTGCCGCGGTATATGCAATTGCAGCCGGCCGCTGTTGGGATTCCTGGGCATGGGTGGCGCTTGATTTCAACCAGGTGCCATTCACCAAAATGCTCACGTGTGCGGGCTCGTCGCAGAAACAGCAGAGTGCCGAGGGGAGGGGAGGGGAGTGTTCAGCCCACTCTTCCCAAGGGTCGCAAGTGCTCCTGGAGGGCGGGGCAGGCACAGCTGGGTCTCGGCCCTGAAAGGCTTGTCAGGTTGGTGCTTGCTTCCACGGGGGCCAGAGCAAGGACGTGGACACCTGATGCGGAGAGGAAGGGTGCCAGTGTGATCTTGTGTGAGGGGCATGACCACCCCGAATGGACTCTGTGAGGGGCAGGAAGGGTGGGGACTGGGGCCCACCCACTGCCTCGTGCTGCAGGCCATGAGAATGTTTGGGAATTGGAGGAGGTGGTGGTGGAACGGCCTGGAGAACACAGGAAAGCCAGCGGACTGCACAGGTGGGGGAGTTTTCAGCTCTGTGCGTTTGAAAGGTGTGGGTAGAGAATGCCGGTCTGAGGAATGGCTGCAGGACTTTAACCACTGGGAGGAGCTGCCCCTGTCTGTCCCTTCCCTGTGCTTGGGGTCCCAAGCTCCAAGTGTACGTGGCGCAGGCCTGGCTGATGGTGAGTGGGCTCCGGCGCTGACTGGGCCCATTCATCAGTCTCAGGAAACACTGGATGCGCGGCAGCCAATCGCAGTCAAGACGGGCCAGCCCCGCAGCTATTTTTAGATGGACATTTTTTATTTGCTTCTCAAGAGGAAAATCTCTAGACGCCAGCAGACTCGTGATGGCGATAAAGGGGCCCATTCTTGGACGTTGTTGGGGCTTCTCGGGGCTGTGGTGAGCATGCAGTGCAGTGCACAGAGCGGCCTGCTTCTGGGCCTGACGTTGGCATTTCCTGCCCAGTGTTTATCTAAACTCTTGCATTTAAGTCGCTGCTGGGGGCACTTTCTCCTCCGAGTTCAGGGCCAGGCTTGGCTCCCAGCCATAGCGGGGACTGTTGGGGTGTCAAAGTCTATCGGGGGACTCATGCCTGTGAGCAGTCGTGCAGATAGGGGGAATCCGAGTCGGACACCCACCCTGGTCCTGCTGTGGGATAAGCTGTTCACCACAGGTCGGCAGTTCAAGCCCACCTGCTGTTTGGCAGGAGAAGTAGGAGGCTGCAGATGTCCTGTAAAGGTGGACAGTCTCAGACACTCTCGGGTGCAGTTCCGCTCCATCCAGCAGGGTGGCAGTGAGTTGGCATCACCTGGCAGGCAGTGGGTTGAGCTTTGGGGTCCTCTGGGCTCTCAGAGGCAGACCTGATGGGGAGAGGGGAACAAAACAGCCTGGCCTCTTACGGGAAACACTTCAGCTAGGACTCTAGCCTTGCGCTGGAAGTGAGCCGAGCTGATAAGAGTGGCCTGAGAAGGGTTCGGGGGCGAGTGAAGGTGGCCCCCGTGGACCCGTCTGCCCCTGAGAAGGGGACGCCTGGAGGCCTCACATCAGCAGAGCTCCGGCTCCGAGCAGGCATGTTGTCAGCAGCTAAGGCTTTGGGACCTGCTGGGACCTTCAGAGTGGTCATTGTCCTTCCCTGCTCGCATACTGTCCCTCTGCTTGTCCATTTTCTCCCTGGCTTTCTGCCCCTTCGGTGTCGCCTCCAGCTCCCTGTCTTTGTCGCTGGTCCTGTTGTGGCTGCTAGGGGTTAGCGCGGCAGCTCCGCCCCCTGGCAGCCCCATTCACCACAGAGCAATGCCCGGCCCTGCTCCCCTTCACCATTGCAGTCATGGTCAAGCCTACTGTGCCAACTGCTGTGTCCATACACCTCACCAAGCACGATGTCCTTCTCCGGGCCGCGTCTCTCCTGACAGCATGTCCAGAGTACGTGAAACGCCGCAGTCTCGCGTCCCTGTCTCTGAGGAGCGCTGGCTGCACCTCTTGTGAGGCGGCTCTGTCCCATGCTTTCATTGTCTCCCCCAGCCCCACACGGTTCTCCCGGGTCTTCCTTCGTCAGCGTCCGTCCGTCCGACGTCCGCAGATGCCCCGCCTGGCTCAGGGGCACCTTCATCCCCACACTCACACCGTGGCCCTTGGTAGCTGATTTGCCCCCTGTGGTATCACTGTATTACATGGTAGTAGCCTGCACGTCCTTAAGCCCACTCTCGCCCTCTCCTGGCCCCTACCCTGAGTGGGCTGAAGTGCTGCCACCTCTCTCCGCACCCCCTGGGGGGGTCCCCACCTTTGGCCTTGCCCTCTTACTGGCTGTCCAAGCCCAGCCCAGAGGAGTCCTCTGTCTCTGACCAGGGCCACTGCCTATGCCCTAACCCCTGGCTGGACCTGGTTTAGCTTTCCAGCCTTGATTCGGGGAGCAAGCTGGCTCTCCACCCTGCCGTTCCCGCCTCGATTGCAGCCCCTGCAGGGGAGGCAGCCTTCCTCCCACCACTGTGGCCCCCATTTCTGGTCCCACAGCGCCGGCTCTCTTCCCACCCTCAGGATCACCTGAGTGAGAATCACGCGATGGGTAGGGAGTTCAAGGTGTTTGGTTGAACTCTGATCTAGGGAGGGGCAGTCCATGCCAGGCCTGCAGGGTATCTGCGGGCCAGAAATCCCGGGACCCACCTGATTCAGTGTGCCCAACCAGCCAGGGCTTCTCTAGGATTTTGCATTCTGGTCCACGCTCTCCTCCCACTGCACCCACCCCTCCTCCTCTGATTCTGTCTGTCCAGGACAGGGCACCAGAAGACTTGCACTCGGGGTCGTGGAGGAGGGTCTGTGTGGTGCTTTGGCCCATTGGTCTCATTGTGCCCGTGCATCTGTGATGCTGCTCCCTCTGCTGTGGTCCAGACCAGGAGTGAGCTGTCCAGCCCTGGGGTGCCCCCACCCACGACACAGAGCACCATCTCTCAGGACCTCGCTGACCAGGCTCAGCGCCTGGAGGGTTCTTTTCTTGTCACTCACTCTCAG